GCAAAGTGTGAACGATTCACACTTTCTCTTCAATAAGGGAGAGAAAAGCTTTCGCTTTCATGGAGGTAAACGTTAAGTCTCAGTACCAGATGACATTGAGGAAAGAAAAAGGGGATAAGGCGCTCATTCTCAATCCCCAACATTTACATCTCTCTACTCAATTGCTTGTTCAGTCAGAATAAAAGGACTGAGTAGTATGACTACGCTGCCGTGGCAGAATAAGAGAAGAAACAGAGAACCAGAAAGAGACGATCCAGGAAAAAGTGGACAGATTGACAGCTGATCCGATGGGTGGAAGTCGAGTGCACAGCAAAGAGCATTTGGGCACCACGTATCCGAACAACCAAAAATCACTTTCATTAATGTAACAGTGATGAGCTCTGTTTGGTAACACTGAACAGAAGCAGCTGCACCTTCCTATTTGCTGTTAGCTGTACGGTTGTAGTTATTTCCAGTCGTGACAGCGCGGATAAACAAGCCTCCCTAAACTCCGTCTGCTTTCTGTCTTAATGTCAAACACTGTGACGATAATTAGCAGATGGCTGACGAGTCACAAGGCAAGAAGCTAAATAAATAAATAAAGCTACCCGCTAACTGATGAGAACACAGATAGAACATTTCTGTGTCCTTGGTTGTATCAGTGTCTCTCCAACAAGTTGTCAAAAGTGCAAGATGTCATCCTGAAAATGAGGCACGGGCGCAGTTAAAGGCCACACAACTACGGTTGACACACACACACACACACACACACACACACACACACACACACACACACACACACACACACACACACGTTTTCACTTAGCCTATATCACCTAATTAGACCTCAACTGTGAGGTGTCCAAAATCACTCCCTCATTCACCACTCACTATTTAATAGATATTCAAGAGATTTTTGGACACGGGACACTGAACGACTCATTCACTTCCGCTCAGTGGAAGTCTTTTTCTGTGTTTTGCTGTAATTTACTGTCACGCTTGTCTTCTTCCTCTCTCTCTCCTCTCCTCTCCTCTGATCTCTGTGTTTCACCGAGGGCGGAGCTTACACGCAGCTGAGACGGCCTTTTGCAGTCCGCTAGCTTGTTGCTATCGCTTTGTCGATTTGCTGCTCTGTTGTCAACAATGTTGGGCTGAAAGAAACGTGCATGCAGGCCGATATTATCGGTGGTGTTGTAAAAGTAACTAACTAAGCTAGCCGCTAGGAAAACCTTGTTTTTGTGGATACAGCACACTTTTAATGCACTAGAAATAAACCTGTGCTTTTCCTACTGGTCAACATATCTTCCATTAAAAAAGGCCTATTGCACTATCAGAGTTTGGTGACCTCACATGAATCCCAGCATTATTATGCACAACAGGTTTTTTCGAGTCCAAAGCAATTAAAAAGGGAAATACCACAGATGTTTTGTCAAAAGCCTGAATCTTTTAGGTTTTTATAATACCTTCAACTTTGTGTCTTTTCCCCTTAGTCACCTCAGTTATACACGGTATACAAATACTACAAAGGTATCGCAATACTGTGTGGAAAAAACGGTAGAAATACCACATCTTAATGGTACCGGTACTTTAAGAATGACAGTGTTTTAATAGGAGTTGTGTCGATGTGCGACAGCGGGGCAGTGCGTTTGTGCAGCGCTCTGCTTTAGAGGACTGCATTGGGATTGGGAACCCGCGGGTTAGCTAGCGCTAACCAGAAGTATGGAGTGAATAAATAAAGTTGACAAGTAGATAAAAGCAGGTCATGAACCTCACCGGATGCATGGTCTTTCTTTCAAAAACAAAACAAAGAAAATAACAACGCGCCTCTAATTACTGACCAAATTGACCGATAACATTAGATTCACCATCTTCACCATCGTGTTTCTCATTAACACGAAACAGACGGAAAGGAAAAGCAGTCTGGCGGCAAGAGTGACGTTCTCTTCACAAACACCACTTTGACACAACACAGCACTTTCTACAGAACCGACCCCCCCCTCCGTTTGGGCTGAGCCTCGAATGTTTACAACGCCTGGCACCGCCCCTGAAGCACACCATAGACTAGCACACACACACACACACACACACACACACACACACACACATACAGTATATACAAAGCTCACTGATGCATGCAACTTGTATTTGAAGTCAAGGTGAATGCATAATGCACTCGCAAAAACACACACACACACACACACACACTCCCTGTCTTGCTGTTTCAGCAGCTTAGGGGCAGAAAGGCCGGCCCTGAAATCAGTGCTATGAATGCAGAGACTGAACTCGGCCAATTAAACCTCAATTACTGACCCATTGTCAGACACACTCTCTTTTTCCTCTTCGCCCTGCTCTTCCATCTCTTTTCTCTCCGTTAGCCTCCACCCCATTTTTAGACTCTGCCACCCCCTGCCTCTCCTTCTGTCAGTCTCTCCCCTCCCCGCACCTCCTTTTCTTTTAACAATTCTCTCCTCTCCCAGTAAGCGTCTCCATGCTCCCTCTCTCACTCATTAAAACAGTTCCCAGTCTTCTCCCAGGAGAGAGGGGGAAGGATAAAAATAGCTCTTCCTCAGCTTCTGCTCGCTGGTTGTCTTTCCAGCATGCGTTCCATACATCAAATGACTAAGTTTCCTCATGATAACCAGCGTTTCTTCTTCTCTCTTTTTTCCTCACTGACTCTCCGTCTCTCCATTCTCTTGTTCTGATGCTCCTCGCCCAACCACACGACGTGCCTCTTTAAATTCAGTTTGTGGCTGTGCGTTTCCAGCAGCAATGGAGTTGTTGAAACAGTCCAAGAGACTGTTACACACACAATGCTACAAGCTAGCGTGGTGTTGGTATTTTGTTTAAATTTTTCTCTCACTTACACACACACACGGTCAAAGACATCTTGTTAATTTATGCATGTTCTTATATATTTAAGCAACACCCCCCACAAGATGCATAATCGATAATGAATGAAAAGAAGAAGTCTTTCACAAACTCAATCAGGAGACGTTTAAAGTGTTGCGTTCATGTTCACGTCCAAGAGTCAGCAGGCTATACATGCATCAAACTCGTGACTTATAAGCCCCTCTATGTGCATGACATACACAAATACTTCCCTGTTTAAAACTAGTCCAGGTGTTCATTACGTTACATCACTAACAGCCACCCAGTAGGCATACCAGACCTGCACTAACATTCACAATCGCGTCAGCTTTCCAGGCAACCTGAGCCTGTATGGTTGCTGTCCGTGGTGCTGATTTTCTGTGCAACCGCAATATAACAACTACGTGAGTGGACTGACGGGCAGCTAAAGCACGGCATGCAAAGTACAATAAGCAATATCCACATCAGAAATTGCACACTGTCTTGTCAAAAATAATAATATAAAAAAGCCGCTAAAGTTTAGCACTTTGTGTGTGCGGACATGTTGTTGGTCATTGAAAGTCCAAATCCCTCGCTTTTCCTCTCCGTACGCAGATCCAGTTTTGACGTCGGCCTGCCAACAAATGTAGTTATAAATTGCTTCTGGAGCGGTCATTAAATACAGCTGTTTTTTTAAACAAAAAATTCCAAATCTCCGCCCTCCGTAACTGCACATGCTAATGTTGCTACTTCCTAACGGTGATATCAAAAGACGTAGCGTTAATCTGATTGGTGTGAGGCCAAAGGCCACAGCCTTGACTAATCACAGTTTGGCAGCATGACGTCGGCCTCATCTGATTGGTTAATCCTTCGATATTTTTTTGCCACAGGATGTTTGAAGAGCATGGACAGACGTAGGACTGCAGTCAAATATTTCATCATGTTTTTATTCAAAAATGATGACTACAGTCTGACCTCCAGGAGAATGGACGCACTGGAAGAGCAAATGACCATCTGGCTGCTATGAAAGCGCAGCTTTTTTTATCCCGTTTCCTCATTACTTAAATTATTTTTTAATCAACGACAGGGATGGGGATAAAAGAGGAGAGGAGCGAAAGGATGAGAGAGACGAAAAATGGATAGAGCAGGGAGTAGAGCAAGTGTGGGGATGAAGAGAGGGAGAGAGAGAGAGAGAGAGAGAGAGAGAGGTAGTTAATGCGATGCCAAAGGGTATAAACAAATTGCTCACTGGCACAGCAAAACACAACAATCTAAACTTTCCCCTTTTGAAAACACTTCAATGTCCTAAAAATACAGCACACCGCAGCAGCAGCAGCTCAGACAGCAGACACACAGAGCATAATGCTCGCTAGTTTTACGCTTCACAAAAGGCTTCAGACACAATAAACCGCGAGTCTGTGTTGCAACAAGATCATCTGTCTGAAAAACTAGCCGACAAGGCAGAAATAGTTGAGGAACAGGTTGTTTGTTTAGATTCACTTCTTGTGAATTTTTCGTCCCTGGAAGCAAAAAACTGCAGATGCAAACGCTATGAAAACAGAAGTGAACATTCAGAGAGCATCTGTCTAGTCCTCTGAGGTATTTACTGAAAAGGCTTTCTTAAAGCAGACACTTTGTCTTGTCAATTGCTTGGAAAAGCACAGGGGGCAAGTCAACACACTAAAGTGGAACGCAGCCATTATTATTGTCATAAGTGGCATCTGTGTGTGAACAGTAAAGATGGCACCAATAAGAGAGGTATATACAGATTTAGAATTTTTTTTAATCTGCATCTGGATCTCCATCAAAACAGATGTGAAGAACAGATGGACGATCAAGTGACACATGAAGCACTTTTTTCCCGTTCAAGTCCGTCCAGAACTTGACGAGATAAAACTGCGTTCAACGTTGATAAACCCTTAAAATGTTTAGTCTGCTGCCCAATCAAACAACGAGACGGGAGAGGACATCCATTTATGATGCATGAATTGTTCGAAAAATAAAAAAATATTTTTTCAAGTATTTTCATTCCAAACTGAGATGAAATCATACTGTTTATCAACCTATAACATGTTACATAACATTAAACAGTAAGTCTAGGAAAGTTCTATAATGGATAACCTTCAACAAATGCGTTACATGAACTGATCAAGAGAATGAATAAATTCACTCACCATCTTTGTCAGCTCTTCTGAATATCTGTGAACAGAAAGCAAGACAGTGTAATCAGCATCATTGGAGGTATATCAGCAGTATGAACAGCAAGAACGTAGAATAAAAGAGCCATAACAGGAGCTCCTTCCGTTCAAGTGTTAAGGAAAGTGACTTTCTAGTTATTAAGAAACTGCTAAGTAGCTACTAAGAACAAAGTTAGAGTCTGGGAACAATGACTACACGTAGTTTACAACGTCTTCTGCTGGCTCTTCTGCAAATTCAGTAGAGTGTCATCAGAGTGTGAAACGTAAAAAAGGGGCAAGAGACATATAGGCTCATATTAAATATACCTCCGCTCTGTTACTGACTTGAAAGCAATCATTAAGTTGCATGGTTGGCCTTTTTCTCTTTGCCTCAGTGTTTTTTTCGCCAAAGGTCGCACCTACACCTATATGGCACTGGGCTGGTGTCTGTCAGAGGATTGGTCCGGGATTTGAACCTGGGACCGCTCCAACCCAAAGAGCTAATCATGCCTCTACAGGACAAAGAGCCACCAAAGGCATGTTCTGCAAGATTTGCTCTGCATACCAATTTGCCATTTTACTGTTGGATGCCCCATGCTCTCTTCCACTTCCTCGTCCCCCAGGTCTTCTGGATACGGAGGCCCTCCAGTATTTACTCACGCACAGAGGGTACCAAGAGCACAGAAATGCAGAAAGGCCATAGCTACGCATTTCTGTGGTGGTTTAGCAATACGGACACTATCGCATTGTTTAACTATACCTATTATTTAGGGCAGTAGCATACGGGTTGACTTTTAAAAAAAAGAACTATAGTTTAGTAAGGGAACGCAGAAAACAATGTTAGTTCAAGTTATAAAATAAATGTAATAAATATCCACAAAAATCTTTTTTTTAAACTCTTCAATGTTTAGTAGGGGACATCATTTCCGGTCCCTCGCAGCAAAAGGAAAAAAAACCCAGGCGGGTGTACCGACTGCAACAAATGTTTCAGTCTTCCGTTCAGTTCGTTCTCTCGCGCATTGCCGCGCAGTCCACGCAAACACTAATGCTGTGTGAACACAGCAGTGCGTCTCAACCAGATAAAGTGCAGTGGCGCGTGATAAGACTTGTTAGGAGCCGCGTGACTGAAAGGTTTATTGGCGTAGCGGTGGATAGAACAATGATTATGTACACGCGCGCGCCAAACAAAGCCGCTGATCTACAAAGAGAGTCATGATTAGGCCTACTTGTCGTGTGTACGTGCGCACCGCATTCTGTCCACGGAGGAACGCGCGCTGACTTACAGCTTCAGTGAAAGCTTCTCTCCCTGTGGAATTGAGAGTGACAGGTCTGGTGCTTTCATCGGTACTTCAGAGTTTGATGTAAACTGTTCCCACTGACAACAGTCAGGAGACGGGGTGGGGGGGAGGAGGGGGCTGGAGTGAACAGAACGTGAGAGGGAGACGCGCGCGGAGTTACTCTCCGTGCGTGTAGTGATTTGTTCCACACGCATCCATCTTGTTCATTGCGAGCATTCAATTTAAACAGTATCTTGCGAAAAATAAAAAACACACCTTTTGGTGTGGCAGATTTCTCCATATCTTAAAGGTTGTTTTCTCAAACTAGTTAGTCAAATTAGTTTTTTCTCAGACCCAGAAATCTCCATTTCAGTCGCACTCACATTCACCGAACCGTCCGGTGTCATTCCTTTCTATATCCTGACGATTGTCACAGACGGATCTGTTCATACATCAAGCATTGCCCTGATTTATAGAACATCATATTCCAAAAAACATGGTGTCAATTGATTTCTTTGGCAGTATTTTCTGATTTATGGAGTGATGCAAAGAGATTTGTACCAAGATATTCCCTCAGTATAAACATTTGCCTCTACAATTTGAACAATTTTGCAATGTATGTAAAATAAAAATTAGCACATATTTGGTAAGACGATGCCTCATTTGCATATTTAAACATGCTTGTCACGCAATTAAATAATTGTCTTAATGCAAGCTATCGATTGGTTGTTTCATGGCAATATCTATTGTTTTTTTAACCCATTGATCCCTCAACTTGTAAACATACAGACAGAAGTGTTATGCTGTGGGTTATGTCTTATATTTTACGGGCTGCTGTAGCTGTTATTGTTCACGTGAAGGATGCAACTGACAGCTTTAATAGACGCCTTTCCGAGCTCCAGTGGGCGGTCCTAAAAAGGATGTTGGTGGGGTATCTCTTACGTACCCTCCATCACACAGCCGGAAGTACACAGAATCCTTCCCATCACACCTGAGAACACAGAACTGGAGCAGAGCTTATAGGACTTCCCACATAAAACACTTGGACGCGTTTCGTTATCAACCGTTTAAGTGTTTTATTGTTTCAACTAATAAACTTCCGACTTTCACATTTAATACTTCAAGTAAGGCTGAAATAAAACGAATTGATCAATAGAAAATGTATCTGCAACTCTTTTGATAATTGATTTTTTCAGCTGTTTATTTCAAGCAACAACCGTCAGGATGCAACTTTTTAACGACAGAGCTCGCAAACCACTTCTTTAGTACAACGCACATAAACTAGTGTGGAACTCCTGTACTGCACAGCTGTTATTGATTGACAGACTATGAGCGGGTGGTGAGTTCAGGCAGCAGCCGTCAGAGAGAGAGAGAGAGAGAGAGAGAGAGAGAGAGAGAGAGAGAGAGAAAATCTGCGGAGACGCGCGGCATTCCAAACGACAAGCCGCTCTCATTGTTCTGCTCTCTGGCTGCACCCTGGGGTGCACTCAACTCCTAGAGAAAAAAACTGTCAACTCTGGAGCTGCTGGAGACAGACGAGCTCGGAGAGGAGGGGAAATGTCGCGGTGAGGAGGCGATGTTCGTGTAAGTGTGTGTGTATATATATATATATATATATATATATATATATATATATATATATATATATATATATAGAGAGAGAGAGAGAGAGA